CAGACAGGATTTCTCTGTGTAAGGCTATCCAGGAACTTACTTTGTAGACCAGGTTGGCCTCAACTGTCAGATCAACCTGCTTTTGCCTCTCGAGTGCTGAGATTAAAGGCGTGTGCCACCATTGACTAGCAATTTATAGTATAATCTTTAATGTAGCCATCCATTGCCTTTGAAAATACTTTTTCCAATTGTTTTCCCTGACCACCTGGGAAAGGATAAGCCTTATCTAGGGAAAATTGAAAAGATACACTTGCTTGGTCTGTTTTCAAGTTCTGTGAGGATAATGTTGGCACCTATCTACGTGGCAGCATTGTTTACTGGCCTTACCATCTTCTGTTAGATATCCCAAGGACTCAAGTTTATCTGTCCTGGATGGAGGACAGCCTCCATTGTAGCTGTGTAGGATCAGAGATGGAAGACATTTCAATGTCAGGTCCCTTGAAGCTGGTGCATCAGTCAGAAAAACTACTTCCTGGTCCTCAGGAATCTTCCTTCTAGAGATAACTGTGGGAAAGACAAAAGCATCACTGAAGCTGCCGACCAGTAACTGCCCTCGGTCCCGAGGGTCTGCCCTAGACACAGCGAGTTAATAGAACAGCAGCACCGGCCAAGGTCTGGGTGTGCTGCTGCCTCAGATCCTCACTTGCCATCTGCCTCAGAGCCAGGAAAGGCATTAAGTAGCGGCAACCATGGCCATACATCCCTCACTTTGCATTACATAAAATCAGTCACCTTTCTGGAAGCGTCCAGTCTAGAATAGTATACTGCTTCCTTGCTTTCCAGAATTCTCCTGAAGATCACATCGCACACACCTAAATCCTGTCCAATGGGCGCTCTCTGTTTTTAGCCTCTGCTCCTCAGTATTTAGTCTCTCACTGCAGGAAGTTTATAAAAACCTAACCTGTTTGGCCAGGGTGTGCCCTGGTGATCTTGGCTTAGCAAGTATTGACATTTTAGGTTGTCAGAGTGCTAGAATCTAAAAACAAATAAGTAGAAGCCAGGCGTGGTGGTTCACACCTGTCATCCCAATACCTGGGAGGCAGAGGCAGAGAGGTCACAAGTTTGAGGTCAGCCTGGGCTACATAATAAGCCCTGTTTCAAAAATTCAGGAAAGCAGCATCCATTAGAGACTGCAGAGTTGACTACGCAGCAGCACTTCTGGGTTCCCAGCCTGGGGAGACAGAGACAGGCAGATCCCTGCAGCTTACTGACCTGCCCGCCTAGTTGATTCAGTGATCTCCACATTCAGGGAGAGATCCCATCTTAAAAAGGCACAGCCCAGTGTGGTGGCGCAGTCCCGCCTTCTCCAGCAGTCCGGAGGTATCTCTCCCACCCATGGTCCCACAGCCACTTAGAAAATAATCACTCAGAGGCTTAATATTAATTACAAACTATGGCCTATGGCTCAAGCTTCTTGCTAGTTAGCTCTTTCATCTTAAATTAACTCATTTCTATAAATCTGTATGTTGCCACATGGCCGTGGAGTTACCAGGCTGCTGACATCTTGTTGCCCCTTCAGCTGTGGGCTCTCATCTCTCCTGACTCCACCCTTCTTCGTCTCCTCTTCAGTTTGAATGTACCGCCTAACCTTATCCTGCCCTGCCTACGCCAATGCAGCTTTATTTATTATTCAATGGGAGCCACACACACGTATTCACAGCATACAGAAAGACATCCCACAGCACAGGCCTTTAATCCCAGAACTTGGAAGACAGAGTCAGGCAGATCTCTGAGTTTGAGGTCAGCCTGGTCTACAGAGTGAGTTCCAGAATAGCTAGGACTGTTAAAGAAATCCCGTTCTGAAAAAACCAAAAAAAAAAGCAAAGAACAGTTAAAAAAGACACCCAGTGGCCTCTGGCTTACACTCACTTGTACCAGCATGGATACAAGCTCATCCACATGAATATGTTCACATCACACACAATTTTAAATAGAAAACAGGCAAAAACAGGTAGAAAGGTTGGAAGAAGCTTCTGTTACTTGATGTAGCAGAAAGGGAAGTAACATTTAAACAGGCTTGAAACGGCAGCAGGTGCCCAGCTCTCCGCTGTAGCTAGAACCAGCTATGATGGATGGCTTCCTGTCAATGTGACCCAAACTAAAGTCATTTGAAAGAAGGGAATCTCAACTGAGAAAATGCCTCCATAAGATCAGGCTGTAGGCAAGCCTGTAGGGCGTTTTCTTAATTGGTGATTGATGGGGCCCAGCCCACTGTGGGTGGTGCCATCCCTGGGCTGATGGGCCTGGGCTCTGTAAGAAAGCAGGCTGAGCAAGCCGTGTAGAGCAAGCTGGTAAGCAGCGCTCCTCCATGGCCTCCGCATCAAGTCGTGGCTCCTGGTTCCTGCCCTGCTTGACTTCCTATCCTGACTTCCTTTGACGATGAACTGTGACAGACTTGGAAGCATAAGCTGAATAAACCCTTTCCTCCCAATTTGCTTTTATGGTCATGGTGTTTCATCACAGCATTGGTAACCCTGACTAAGACAAGTTAGTACCAGTGTAGTGGATATTGCTGTGCCAGACCTGACCA